AAGGATATGAAGTTTCAAAATTTACAAGCTAAGGATAGGAACTTTCTTTCTGACTAATCAAGGATGCGAGCTTCTAAGTTACCATCCAAGGATATGAACTCATTCAATTTACTAATTAAGGACATAAAGCCTTCATTTTTGTTACTTAATGATTTATTGAATGTCAAATCCTGCGTGGCCCTTGGACAGTGTTAGTGAACCAAGTAATATCACTACGTGCCACTTCATTTAGAGATTCACCATCTTCATTCTCTCTCCTTCGATTTCTTTTTTTCATCAATACTATTTTAACGGAGTCTTGATTGTTACTTTTTTTTTTTTTCCAAACTTTTGGAGTGTATTTAATGATTATATTGATGAAATTATATCTTTGAAGTGTGAATTGTAGGCAAGAGAGCAAAAATACAAGAAGGCTACAAAATCAGAAGAATGCTGAATAGTTTAGATAGAAGATTGTGTAACTTTCTCTACTCATAAAAATGAGTTTCTTTTCTCTATTGAGAAGAAGATTGAGTTTCCTGAGGGCTCGGCTGGAAAAGTAACTTCCTTTATCACTAGTTATAGAAAGGCCTTTTGTCCTGCCCTCTTTATTATATATTTTTTCTCATCTGTTGGTCGTTTGAAAAATGCTTTCTTCGGTAGTAACTTTCTTCATCACTAGTAATAGAGAGGACTTTAAAAATACCATTTTTTCTGATGTTCTATTCTTCACCCACATGCTGAACCCTAACCTGCCCTTTTTTTCAGTTCATGTCAGCTGCAATTCATGTTCAAGACAGTTTTAAAAAAACCTTGATTCTCTTTCTAAGAGATCGGAAAGCAAACTCTTACCCAACATAGTGTTAAAGAAACCTTCTCTCACTTTCTAACCAAGATCATAAAGCAACTGTCCAACATCAAGCTACTTTCTCCAGTATACTGGTACATCAAAAATGAATTGCCTCATTCAGGGCCATGCTCTTATTTTCTTCCATGAAAAGGACGATGGAGAAATACAAAATTGAATCAAATTATATGAAGAAAATATTGTAAAATCACCTATTGTTACAACATTAAAGATCATTACTTATGTTTACCAAATATGAAACCCATAGGCAGAGAAAGTGAATCCCAATTATTCCCTGTCATTATCTGAATTGTATAAAATGTCTGAAGGATTCGTAATATCCTGAAGAAAAATATAAAAAATACAGTTAAGAGTTTTACTCAAGAAAAGCAGTATGATGATTTTGAGATTTACCTTGTTTTTAATAACCACATTATCAGGAATTTCCAATTTCTCCCCGGGTTCTGCAGCAATTTTTACTTTCCCCTTCAAAACATAAAAGTACCAAATGACAGAATGTCAATGTGTTGAAACAATATGCAAACATGCATCCATTTATGCGATTATGCAATTGTATAGTGCAGAAACAAACACAATCCATCCAGCACACACATAAGAATATCAGCAACTTAGTGTTCTGAGTTCCATTACAAAATTAAGCAATATGCATAAAAAACCCCACAGATGTTATACATGAAATAAATGAAATTATGAAAAGAAAGAGTTGAATATGTAAATCATTCCTGCGTTTCTATCAACGTAGATCATGTTATTCACATTACAAAAGAAAAGATAGCACCTGACGTATAAGATAGTAATGTGTGATGCTAATTAATTAAACAATAATATGATCATAGGATAGAAAATAATTGCAAAAAATTAAAAGTTAAAATTTACAAATTTAAAACATCCTTAAAGTTGACAGCATCCTGAGCAAGAGCAACATATATTGAGAAGTTGAAAACATCATTTGTGCTTTAACTCAAATTCAGGTTATGTTAAGCTCAGAGTTCTGAAAATAGATCATATCATTTTGATAATTGATAGAGATATAGAAACTCTGCAGGTGACAAAAGGTTTTCTCAATTTGCATGCACAAGCACAAAAGATCCACATGGTGGAAGCTGATTATAATGACTGGCAGAAATTTGGGTTGGAGATACCTCAGAAAATCTCAATATTTCAACAGCATCATATTGATATTATCAGATATTCAATATAATTACCAATTTAGTGAAATTTGAATGATTATATTTCAAATTCAACATATCACAGCATTTCAATATGTAAGACAAAGTACAAACATGAAACAGAATCCCTGAAATCAGATATATTGTCCAATATAGTATTTTAGCACCGTAGATATTGGACTACAATGAAAAATATTCCTTATAAATTTAACTAATAATTACTAGAACATACCAATAATAGAAGCAGTGGGAAGATACTTCTCTCAGAATTTATGAATTGAAAAATATCTTAATCCATCAAAAGCAAGCAAATGACAAAAAATGCACCAAGGAAGCAGGATAATGCAGGGAAGCAACTTTTGGGATACCTTGAGAGTAATGTCAGCGCCAAACCAAACATCACCAGTCACCTTCAAGCTATCCAGTCCAACAATGCTAGGAGTTGATTTGAAGCGACTTTGGAAATCACTAACCTAAGGAAGAAAAAGAGACAAACTAAAAGGTTAACCAAAATTAAATGAGCTAAATAGATAAGACTACTTTAACCCATTAAGTCATTACCTTTTCAAATTCAGGTCCTAAGCTGATAGAAGGATTTATAGCTCTATTTCGAGCTAAAATGCCTTCATCATAAGTGTAGATATCCGACTACAGAAAAAAAGAAACACAGTAATAGAATTGTTAATAGAGTCAACGACTTAAAAATCAAGATTTAAAAATATTTTCTTTGAGTCATAGGATGGAACTATAGTTGAGATAGATGCATTACCTGCAAAAGTAGCAAGTCTAATGTGGAATTTACGGGAAGATATCGAGATTGGGGAACATTAACACCAATTGCTTGATCAAATAACTGGCTCAACCACAAAAGGAACAACAATAAGAAAGCAAACTTAAATTCAAAAGCAATCACATGGAGTTACAGATATTAAAAATACCTGAATGGCTGAACCAACTGCCGATTCTTTATCATCAGGATCTACTGCCTGAAAAAACAAAATCTTCATAGATTCCTTACTTGAGAGGCACTCATGCCTCACTAAGAGAAAAATTAACCAATCATACCTTTGAAGTAGAAAGTTTTTCCATCTTCATTGCATCAGTGTCTACAAGTCTTTTGATGGCTTTCAAATTAACCCACCTGTGGAGCAGCAAAACCCTGTAAGCATATTTGCATGTAAAGGAAGAAAAACTGAGAGGAATAAGAAGTTTACTTACAAACTTCCTGCATCCATGAATTTGAACTTTTTTGTGGACTTGAATTATTGAACACAAAACACAAAGACCAAGTTCAGTTGTACTAAATCAGCGACAAAAAAAGGCTAAAATAAATCATGCAATTCTGAAAGTTATCTCTTGCATTCTGGATCTTCTATATAGAATTTATATAGGAAGCTACATATTAGTTACAGGACCACCCTACTTCTAGCCCTTTTGCCTTCCCTTTAAAAGAGCTATAGTGTAGCCATAACTTACATGTCTAGAAGGATTCTGAGCAATGTGAACAAGCTGCAATACATTGATAACAATGTTAGTCAAGGAACTTTAAAATGCATGAAACGCATACAGACAGTAAATGAATGGTCAGTTACCTTAAATTTTCCTTCTTGTGAACTAAGCACACTAGTTCTTGAAAAGCTTGTGGTGGTTGGTGTCACCTGAAAAACAGTAAGACTTGAAAAGAATTTATTGAGTTAAAACAAAAAAATAGGATAGAATAATCCTTGCATACCTCCATGCAATACTCAATTTTCTTTTGGGTCACATGATTCAAGATTTCTAACGTATGTGATCAAGGAGCACAATGATCAAGCTAATTGATTATTGAAAACAGAAAAGTAATATAGAAAACTATGACAAGGATACTTGGGTCTATAACAGCACACGCATTATCTGAGTTAACCACAAGCACATACTCCTTACCCTGTAAAACAACGTAGACATTATCATTGATTATGAATAACTGTTCATGTTCCACAGATGTTTGATTGTTTTATAGGATCATAGGACTAAAAAGTAATAAAAGGAATTGGAAATCTTACCTGTGATAGTAACAAATCGAGGGTTTCACTTTTCACAAGGGAAAGGAATGCTGTACCAGGGTCGGATGGGTACCTTTGAATGTCAAAAATTGGCAGCAATTATAAATCCTTCACCAACATAATCCTACTAACCAAAAACGTATACAGACATACTATGGGAAGGATTTTCAGAAAACTAAAATAATAAGAACAACTTATCTCTTGGGGGAAAAAAAAAACTTCAAGATAAAACATATCTAAGATTGTGATACATAAGACAGCCAAATAAAATATCATGTTGCTAGTTTGCCCATTGTTGAGATTCACTGAATGTGAATGTGTGAGTTAGATTGAATCTGAAATTAGGAACACTCTCTATAGTGGAACAATCAGAAAGGTTATTGTTTCATTTAAAATAATCAAGAGTGAATAAAAACAGATGAATTTTCTTTTGCAAGACAGATCAGTAAAGATCTAGAAATTATCTGTGCATGCAACTATTATTAATAATATAAAAGCATTGCAACAGTTGTAAACCTAAGATGCTAAGCAAGAAAGAAGTGGAAGGCACACCAAAGAGAAGCAAAGAAGAAAACCATAAGGATGAGTTTTCCCGCTCAAAATTTAAAGGGAATCCCTACCCAATAGGATCCCTGTCCTCACAAATAAATAAATAAATAATATTATTTTCTTTAAAAAGATTTTTTTTACATAAAAAATGAAAAATTAAGATGATGACGTGGTGAAGTGAATTGCTATCTAATATTTTTTTTACATGTTATTTAGTGACTAATTTTCTCTTAGGGTTACCAATTTTTTGAAATTAAGTGATAATTATTCTTAATCTTATTAAAAATTTTCCTTTCTTTGGTAAGACTCCCCTTTATACGTGGGGGATAGGGATGGGGAAGAATTTTCTCCCTGCAAAAGTTCCCCAAAGTTGGCAGGGCCCACCCTGTTGCCACCCCTAAGTTTCATTCAACTTTACTCTCACATTTCCAGTTGCATACTTGTAACCCAGCAGAGAATTTAAGGAGTCAAGAGGATTCCCCCTCTCAAGGAGAGAAATCTAGGACCATGGATGAACCCTATTAAAACTGTATTTAATAATATGATGGAATATCAGAGAAGGAAGGAAATAAACAAAAGAGACTTACAAATCGTCTACACTGTGCAGTCCAAGTGATTCAGGTTCAGCTTGTTGACCCTACAGAAACCCAATCATGAAAATAACATCTAAGTCGAAATTTAACCTTTGAAGAATAGACCATAAATCAGATATAGAAACAAGACTGCATGAGCTATGTCTGCAAACCTGGATAAATGATTGAATATCAATGTTTGATTTCGAATATTTCTCCAAAACCTACATTATAACAGCATGGATGAGTAACTTATGGATCTTTGGGGTTAAAAAAAACATATTGAAAGGACAGGAAAAACAAACCACCTTTAGGGTATCATCATGCGTTTTATTAGTGTTCATAAGAAGCAGAGGGACTTTGCAACCATACTTCGCATTTAGAGACTATAAAATAGAAAATGAAGAATTTGTGAGATCAAGGACTGCCAAAAAGAAATACATGCAGATAAAAACCAAAAAACTAACCTGAATTTGCTCAATAATTACATCTAGTAATGTCAATCCCTCCCGAATTTCAATCAAAGATCTGTATAGAGAAATGAGAATTGGCATTCAACAAATAGTTTAAATGCAACAACAAAATCATGGTATCAAAATAATCAGAAGTATCATCCTTGCTCACTTGGGACCACTGAAACCCATAGTTGTTCCCAAAGCACCGTTAAACTTCACAACAACAAGCTTGTCCAAAATCTCCTTGGTTTTGGCAATATCTGCATCAACAACAGAAATGGTGTACCATAAAATATGCTGAACAAGATAAAAACATCAAAGCTTCAGACGGAATCATGAAAATTACCAATAGTAATATGCTAGAGAAAGATATATTTCACATATATAAATAAACACATTTAAACATTACCTTGAGAAAGAAGTTCTAACTTATCAAGGGGAATGAGCAGCACTTCATCTTTTTCACCACTCTCACTAGCACTCTGCTCAATTGGCTGAGCTTCTTCCCTTCAATGCAGAATTAAATTACATTTAAAATAAAAACTTCAAGCTTGTAGATATACTGATTCCTTTATATGTGTTTCAATTTGAATAAACTCTTTGTATGAACCATCTTAGCACGTATATCAACCCTAAACATCCACATAAAGCATCCACATTTCAAAAGAAATTTTTTTTTTTTTGAGAATTAATATTTCCATGTCCATTTCTATCTTTACCAAGAGCATTAAGACCACACACGCACAGAATATAAACATTTCAGTATAACCAACATAAAAAACGAGAGAACCTCCATACCTACTTCTTGTCTTCCTCCCAAGTAGCCCAACTCCATCTTCTTTCTTCTTCTTCTCCTCCAGCATGAAACACTTGGTGATCATATTGCAAAACAAATAGACAAACTGCACGGAATCATTTGCCGGTACAGGATAGGTAATCTTCTCGTAAAAATCCAAAGGCATATTTGAATCCACCAACGCCACAATGGGAATCTGCAACCTATAAGCCTCTGGCACAACTGAGGACTTCCTCTCTGTATCAAACACCACCACACAATCCGGCAACTGGGTAGGGCCAAACCGAACCTTCTTGTTCCTAGACCTGAACTTCTTAGGACTAAAACTGTTGGTCAAGAACCCCCCCATCCGCCAAAGGCTGTTAGACCTTTCTGGGCTCAAACTAGAGATCTTGGAGGACATGAGGTCGACAATTTCCTGGTGTAAGGGGTTGGTGTTTACGAACATGATGGAGGCATTGTTCCGGGCGAGGTGGGAGATGAAGTTGCAGGCGTTGCGAAGGCAGATGAGGGTCTTGTCGGAATCAACAATGGTGAGGCCGTTGCGCATGCCATAGGCGTACATCTTGAAATGCTGCGCCGCCAACCGGCGGCCGATGTGAGCATTGGTGCTCAGAAGCTTCTGAATCACTAACGAGTGGAGTGTCATCCTTCTGGTTTTCTGGGTACTTGGCTTCTGGAATTGAAGAAGAAAATGGGATTAAGGATGCAATGAATTATTCGGAATCGGACACTTCCGAATGCTGCGTGGCCGACGTGAGCATTGGGTTTTTTTTTCCTGCCTGTTTTGCCCTTACCGTGAAAGATGATGATGGAGATGGAAGTTTGACGGTGATCGGCGGTGAAGAATCGGGAAGGCAGAGAGAGAGTATGCAGGGGAAGAAGACGTCCGCTGCAAAAGAAAAGGAAATTAAAAAAATAAAAAATAAAAAAGGCGAATTTAGGGTTTTAGTTTGGTTAAATGCCATTGAGTTCTTAAACTTTTAGTTTTGAATATTATTAGTCCTAAACTATTTTTTCCACTTTTTTAGTCCCTAAATTATGAAAAAAATTTTACCTAATCTTATCATTTAATATTTAGAATCGACTGAACATTTTTATAAACAGAAATTCTTTCTAATTGAATGTTTTTATTTTATTTTATTAGATCATAAAATTTAAAATTTTTATTATGATTGTATCTACACATTTGAATTTTTTTTTGGTTGCTAACTCAATGTTAGAGCAAATGCATTATTTTAATTTTTTTATTAATTAATCCATAAAATTTGTCTATATATATTTTTATTTTTGAACTTCATTTAACAATTAAAAATGTGCATATAATCTAAGTTTAAAAATTAAAAATATACATATATAGATAAATTTAATTGATAACAGATAAAGGAACTAAAAGAAGTGTATTTTTTACAGTTTAAGGATGAAAAAAATATAAAAAATAGTTTGAGCATTAAAAGTGTTTAAAATTGAAAGTTTAGGGATGCAAAAAAATGACATTTAACCTTTTGATTTTGTGAAATGTATCTATGTGGGTTCACGTGTTGGGTAATAAAAAATGGATTTGGGTTGCTGATTTGGGGTAGGTTGGGTTTGTGGGCTTTATGGGAATTCTTGGGTTTGTGGATTGGGATGCTTTGATGAATTTAGATGTAGATGGGCCGAGTTTCAGGGTTTTTATGTGCTTTTTTGTAATTTAACACCCCAGTTTTTTTCTTCACTTGAATCCCTTTCTTGAATTTCCTTTTTCAATTTCTGC